AGATCCACATGGTAAATTCTACTTGGAACTTAATACCAGTAGTTTGCTTTGTAAAAGAAAACACATCACAAGTTTAACTAGATATGGGTTATAAGAGTTGTATATTTTCTTTTGGCTTTGGAAAGAAAGCCTTCCTGTTTGGAAGATCAAAGCTAAGTTTCATGTTTACTAATCATTAGCTTAAGTTTTCAGGACTAATCTTTTATTTCTTATATAACAGTCCTTTTGGAAATAATTTCAGGTTTGAAGAGATTGTCAGGCAAAATGTCTCTATTTGAAATTCAACCTTGGGAGGCAACATCTTGGGTACTAGTAATGGCAAAATAGGCATGTTTTTGGTAGTGTGAGTTAGGCTTCTTGAAACAGCTTTGAGGGCAGTGAACAGAAGAAGTCTTGGGAGATGGAGAAAACAGGGAAGGCATTGTTCTGTAACTGGTAGGCCTACCTTGTGGGGAGCATACAGGAACATACATTACTTCAGTTTTCCCATGCCAGGAGTAATTGTGGAATGCTTTTGGAATGGGGTGGGGAGCTGAAGTTCAGATATCAAATCTGTGGGGGTTCAAGTTATGGTAATTTGGATGTGAAAAGTTAATGGGTACTTCCAATTTGGAGACTGAAGAGTTGAAGTCCTTTCTTTGTTCCCTTGGAACACCCCAAAGCAACAAGGAGAATGATAAATAAAGTGCAAACTCTAGCTTCAACAAAACTAGGAGACATCTGAAACGATCTTTGAATTCATCTCATAACTCTGTTGCCCCTAGCTTATTCTATTACTTTCATTGTATCCATTGACTACCCTGTTTTCTTAATATTTATCACATCTGATATATATTTGTTAATAATGTCACCCCTCACTAAGTGTAAGCTTCATTAACACAGGGACTGATTTTGTTCACTGCTGTACTCTCCCAGTGGCTAGAATAGTGCCTGGTACATAGTAGGTGCTCAATGAATATTTGCAGTTGGTCAAATAATAGACCTAGCACAGTCTTTGTATGAGGATGTTACAGTAGAGAAAAAAGGATCAATAAAAATAAATGGTAGATGAACACCAGAAAAATATTGGCTCAGAATATTTGAAAATGATCAAACAATTCATGATAATCTTAACACCTTAATGGAAGATTCATCTTTATAAAATAAGAGCAGATACCACAAATACAAGAGAAAATGATGAAACAGAGTAAAATGTGAGCCGACAGAACTTTTAAAAAAAGCTTAAAAATCGTAAAATTGAATAGAAAATTGGAATCAGAGTATACACTGTTCAAATCACAAGAAGGGAAACAGAAAATGGGTGAAAATAAAGAGAAATGATGGAGATGAGATACAACATGTGTAGACTTGGAGTTCCTAAAGGAAAAAATTTCTACTTTCTATTTTTGTAGATGAAGGCACTTGCTCACATGAAAATAAATAATAGGTTTTAGCAACTTGACTCAGTCCTCCTCTCTTGGAATTTAGGCCAAACTTCATAGTTTTTTTTCATCAAAATATATTTCTAGTAAATCTGTCAGCTGACAGTTCATTGTGTACCAATTTTATTGAAGGCATATAACTGGAAACTACCTGACTTGCAAAAGTAGTCATTCAGGCCTCAACATCACTGTTTCAAAATTGTCTCTTTAGAGTCTTGAAAGACTGCTACTTAGGACCATTAAACACAGTGAGGTTTGGGGTGAGAGGTATTGCCTTCCCTTCCTCTAATGGGAAAGACCACTGAAAGGAGAGCTGGTTTTTAGGGAGCTCAATTTAGGAACAAATACATATGGATGTACAGAGTCATGTAATTGACTCTGTTGAACTCCCTCATATATCCCAAGAATGCATATTCATTTGAAGACTACTGGTTAACAAGTACTGCTAACAGGTCAAGCAAGGAATGAAAAGTACCTGTTTTAGGAAAATGAGAATCATTGATTTGATGAAAGTAGTGTATTTATCATAGTTGGGTAGAAGCCACATTGAAGTGGATTGGGGAAGAAGGGGATGTCAATGAAGAGGCAGTAACAAGTTATTAAAATTGGATGTAGTAGATATGGAGATAGGACTACATCTGAAGTTGTGTGGCATCTAGAAAAAATTTTTTTAATCATGAAACATTTGGAGGCTTGGGTGACAAGCTGACAGAGAAGTCAATAGATTGAGAGGTTGAAAACTCAAAAGGTAATAAAAAGCAACTCAAGGTTCACGAGAAGCAAAGGATTAACTGTAGTGAAGGGGTAAAGAGGTCACATATTGGAGAACAGGTTTTTTTTTTAGAGGTATATATAGTAAAATGCACAAGTAGTAGCGTACAACTTGATGAGTTTTGACAAGTATATACTATGTAACCATCACCCAGATCAAGATACTGCAAATTCTTTTTCCTCCACCTGTTTCACTCCTCTCCCACCCCTCCTCCCTGGTAGGAACCACCAGTTTGTTCTCTGTGTTTTGAGTCTGTTTGTTCATTTGTTTTATTTTTTGGATTCCACAATAATTGAGATTCTACAGTATTTGACTTACTTCACTTGGCATAATACCCTCCAGGTCCATCCATGTTGTCACAAAAGGCAAAATTTCATTCTTTTTTGTGGCTAACAGTTCATTGCATATATGAATCCTATCTTCTTTATCCTCATCTTTGGATGGACATCTAAGTTGCTTCCATACATTGTAAATAATACTGTGATTAAAAAACAAAAACAAAAACTGTGTGTATCAATCTTTCCAAATTTTCTTTTCTTCAGGTAAATTCCCAGAAGTGGAATTGTTGGGAGTTGTTTTAATTCTAGTCCCACTTTATTTTTGCTTTTGTTTCCCTTGCAAATATTTCTGGATATGTTGAGGAGACATCCAGAAAAAAATTACTAATGCCAGTGACAGTGCTGCCAGTGTCATCATTTGAGTTTTATGGTTTCAGGTCTTATATTTAGGTCTTTAGTCCATTTTATTTTTTGTATATGGTCTAAGTGATCATTTCATTCTTTTGCAGTAGTCATCCAGGTTTCCTAGCATCATTTGTGAAGAGACTTGTCTTTTTCCTCTTGTATATTCCTACCTTTGTCATTTATTAATTGATCACGTAAGCACTGGTTAATTTTTTTACTATCCTGTTCTCTTGATCTATGTATCTGATAACGCCAGTACCAGTTTTGATTAGCTTTGTAGTGTAGCTTGAAATCAGGGCATGTGACACCGCCAGCTTTGGCTATCTGGGGTCTTTTGTGGTTCCATACAAATTTGTAGGGTTATTTGCTTTAGTACTGTGAAAAATGCCATTGGTATTTTGATAGGGATTGCACTGACTGTAGATTTCTTTGGGTAGTATGGTCACTTTAACAGTATTAATTCTATCAATGAGAATTGAATGGAGTCTTTTGTATCATCTTCAATTTCATTAATATTTTAGTTTTTAGAATACAGGTCTTTCACCTTGTTGGTTAATATTTATTCCTAGGTATTTTATTCCTTCTGATGCAGTTGTAAATGGTATTGTCTTAATTTCCCTCTCTACTAGTTTGTTATTTGTATATAGGAGAGAGAGAGAGAGAGAGAGAGAGAGAGGAGAGAGAGAAAATAGAGGCTTTAAACAAATTGCTAAGGAGAACGGGGAAAAAAGAAGAAAATCATTAACATGCAATATTAAGGTCAATTTTTAGTAGTACTGATTTATGTAACTGTGGTCTTTTTCTATAGAAATAACCTGTACAGGATTGGAACTTTCCGGGAAGGTATGACTGGGGAGGATTATCTGGAATACTGACAACACTGACACTGAATAGATCAATTAAAAATCTAGACAGGGCTTATGAAGCAGGTGAGGACAGACAATGCCCTGATTTGAACATGTGTAAAAGACAGCTGTCATGGTCAGAGGTGAGATTTCTAAGTGATTTCAGAGATAAAGTTGGATATTGAAAGTATCTGGGATGTGGTTGTGGTGGAACTAAAGCCCTGTGTGCAGTATGTGGTCACTAAAGTTAACCAGGTAATTGAAATTTTTCCTACAAGTTTATTCAAAGAATGTGACCTATCTGTTCTCAAACTACTGTTTAATCAGAACAATCACTTCCAACTTATTTCCTTGCCTTTGATTCCCCCAGGTTTGAAAAATTACATATTTGAGAACTATTAATACAAACAAAATTGGAACCTGTGTTCCTGAAAACCTTTTTGATAAAAGGACTGTTAGATCACTGCTATAGGCAACCCTTGGGAGAAGTATGTTTCACTGCACAAAAATAAGTTTGTATTTCTCATCTGGTACTTTAGTAGGGATATCAAGATGGCATGGCATCTGCTTTCCTTTAATGTTTTTCCCTCTAATTTGATAAGGGAAAAGAAAAACCCCTAATGTTTGTTTAAAGACAGCCATGATGTTGAATGTGATGCTGGGACACTAGGCAACATTGACCGACAGACCTATATTTATTGCAACCCTGAAATATGTTAATATCCAATAATATACTAACTGGAATGAGAGTTTCTCTATTTAGAGATTAAGGAAAAAGGTCTTCCAATGTTGTATTTTAAAAGGCTCTTCTACTTAAGAACCAAGACTTCTAAACTATGCAACATATTTAAACAAACTGATGAAAATACTTTTTAAAACATATTACTGGTCTCCCTTTTCCACTCTTAAAACATAAATCAGTCTTCACTTTCTATTTAATTTAGTTGTAATGGCAACTCTACAGAATAGGTATTTGATAATGGCTAATGTAATTTGTTGAATAAAAGCAAGCTTAATCAAACCACATATCCATGAAATGTCATACATCCTGCCAACTACCCAGTGACTCAGTGTTTACTATGAAGAATAGCACCTATTATAATACATGAAAAAAAAGTGCTGGGGACTACTGATATATAAACATTTCAGGATGGATGCCAGAACAGAAATCACCTGTTCTGGTCAATACACAGTAAGATTCTAAATTTCAAAATGACAGGAAAAATCTAAAAGCATTAAGATTTTGGACCCAATTATTCAAAGATCACTGACCAGCCCATAATGCAGTCTGTATTTAATTGGCTGTACATATCAACCACATAACACCAGATGAGTCTAATCTCACTCCAACAGAAGCAGTAACATAATCAGCAATACTACTTTTGGTAATTAGATCAGGATAACAGCACTGGGATAAAATGAAGAGAATTTGAGCTTTTCATTCATTACTCATTTGTAGATAATGGGGATAAAGGTATCACAACCAAATACAGGAAACGGGAAACTGCTTTCTCTTTATTTAGGCCTTAGGAAGAAAATTAACTTTGGTCACATATTACCTCAAAAAAAAAAAAATTGTTTTACACATTCCTAAACAGATAGGACCAAATGATCAGAGAAGTAATTTCTTCTGTAAAAAGCGGCCAAAATTTATCAAAAAGTCTTACAATGTAACTCAAATTATATAAAGACTGCTTGGGATCATATTCCAAATGTATTACAGTTGCAACTTCATCCTAATAGGTGTGAAAAGTATTTGCTCTTGTGTTGCTTTGGTCCAAAAGAGTAGAGCTGAATTAGTAAGAGTAAACTTACATGCCTAATCTTTTGCCAGTATCAATTTAGATTGTAGAACTATTCATCATGCTTATTTCTGCTGCCAATAACAAAGTATAACTTTTTCATGAACACATCACAGTATCAGATAAACTTTTTTAAGAGAAAAATAGGGAAGAACAAAAAAAGATGGAAAAGCTACCACAAACAAAAATAGTGTCTCCCCCTTAACTATTTGAAGGGGTAATAAGGTGAGATTAGGTTTGATACTATAATATGAAAGGAAATTGAGTACTGTATTTCTTATTTTATACAACTCTTACTCTTTACAAAAATGGTTATAGTCATGCCCATAAAAGTGTAACCCATGGCATCTGAAAGCAAACACTCTTTGTAATTATTTAAAAGGGCCTTTTTAAAAATTATAATACAAAGGTCTGTGCTCTATAAGCAGTCCTCCACTGTGCATTATAACAATAAGGCTTACTTTTAATACAAAGACTAAGTGTTCTGGAGTTATGAACCACTGGATTTAACAAACATCATTTTATAGTTGCTTTTTGCATCTTTCTTGGTTTTGGGATCCTCCACTTCATCAGGGTGCTCAGTAGCTTGGAGTTCTTCAGCAGATTCTTCTTTCTCTGACTCTGAATCACTTTCAGAATCATCTGGACTTTCAGGATCAGGCGAATCATCATCATCATCTCCAGCCACATCACCTTCTCCATCATGATCTTCTGCCTATAAACATCAATCAGCAGGCTTTAATAAATACACTTACCCAGTACAAAAACTGGGAAAGACCCTACCTTTTTGTCACAAGTCTTAGAACAGTCTACTCCTTAGCCAGTAAATCCATTGTTTTCAGACTATTTTATGATCATAGGCTACCTAGGGAAGAACTAAGGCATATCTGTGTGTTTTATACATTAGGACTTGAGAGGATTTTGTTTTAGGAAAGGGCTCTGAAGACCATGCACCTGACTCCCTTCCTGACACTAAGTTTGAAAAGTATCATATATTTTCCTGAACAAAACTATTTTTTTAGGTTAACCAATGATCCATGGAGATGTGAAAAACAGCTGTTATAGGTTTTGCATATTACTTTGGAATAATTAACTAGTGGTTGTAATATGAAGAGATCACTTACAAAACAGACTTCTACAAAACAGTATTTACATGAAGTATTTCATCCAACTTATATCTTGTTCATGCCTATCAAAGATATGCCCTAATGATTAAGCAGACTTTACAAACTCTCAAAAATCTCTATTATCTACAAAGACCTACTTGGGCATATAAAAAGTGTTAAGTAACTAAATAAAGCTTTCTACATAGATTAGCAATCAAGAACACTAATAGAAATAAATAGTGTCAACTTGGAAGCTGAATATCTTCCTATTTAATGAAAACACATTAGTTACTACCTCACTGAAGCCAAGTCCACAATGTCGTCGATATCTTCCTGATAATTTACTGTCCATACTTTGCTGATATTGAGACTCCAGTTCTTCATTAATTTTCTTGTCTTCTTCCCCTGCATGTCCAGTGTACTTTGGTTATGTTTCAGTCAAATTAATAAAAATATCTGATTATACAAAAAAAATCCCCATAATACAGATGCTATTATTATGTTCAGGGCTGATTTCTCTGTGACTGATTTTACAAAAAATTTTCTGATGGGTTTCTATACCATAGGTATTTACGCAACATACATAAAATACTTTAGTGAACAATCCTGTGAACTACAAAACTATAACGATGAACTTATATTTTTCTGTGTGATAATTCAAACCAGAGACAAGTCTCTCTGAAAGAACTGCCTTAAGTTCAGATATTATAAATATTTGATATTAAGAACTTTGGGCATTAACTGTTTTAGTTTAATTGTAGTCTAATAAATAGCTGTTCTCCTGAAAATGAAAGTTTTCTCCTAGCCACCAATAAAAGCTTTCTGTCTTTGAACAGAGTAGTGAAAAGGCAAGCAATTTTTTGCCTTATAAATTTGCCTTTTTTTACATTTCAGTTTATTAAGGCATCAAACTTATCTGAAATGTTCATTTGTTACTTTATCACAAACATTCTGACATATACTTTGTTGCTTATACTGTTGTATGTTGAAGAATACAAAATAACTACTTATAAGCAGCTTTCTATGCATGACATTTTAATTTGTAAATATAAGAGGAATTTCACATTTTAATCACAAATAGTGGTGTGCCTCCATTATTTTTATTAAGTCCCAGTTTAACAAAAATTATGCAGCAAATATTTTACCAATCTGCAAAGCTCAGGGACCCTCCCTTTTGTAAGTAATACACATCAATCTGAAATAATTTTTTAATGTTATAAAAAAAGACCCATTCCTAATATGTGCTACATGTTTAGTGCTACGAAAGTTTATTTAAGTTAAAAGGTTTATTAAATATAACCTAGGTCATTATGCCCTGTTATTAATAGTGTCAAAATTAGGGTCAATTTTAAATAAAAAACATTAATTTTTCAACAGACTGAATTCAAATTCATGTTCAGTTTATATTACAGAAATATATAAGTTTTTTCCCTAAAATTAAGTTAGTTTCTTCAGCCTATGCAACAACTTTATACTCTTTAAAACAAGAGAAAAAACGCAAAACCAGTATAAATGTGCTGACTAAAACATTGTACATTAAATAATTAATGAAATAAAAAATACATAAATTCAATACATACTGCTACAGTTGTCAAGAGGCATAGCCTCACTGCAATCAAAATATATGAATCATAAAAATGAAGACAAAAAGGCCAATTCACTGATACTCTCAAATCTTTTAAAAATCAAAACATATACTAATTGTTACATCTCATACATACTATGTTTAAATATACAATACACAATTCTAATTCTAATATTTTAATCATTAACAAACACAGAAGTTAAATGTCCCAAAATGCTCACAAATACCTCATGTTCCAAATTTTGTACCTCCACTTTAATTATACTTTATTTTCTTACCTGTTCGGAAGTGAGATGTTGATTTGTGATCTCCTATAACAAGACGACCAGTATGTTCTTTCTATAAAAAGGCAGAAAACAGAATCTGAGACCACTAGTTTAACATAACTACTGAGTGTCTAGTATATGCCTGACAGTATTCCGGGCTTCTGAGGTATAGTAAAGAAAAAGGACTAAATTAAGATCCCTGTGTTTATGGAACTTACATTTACATTCTAGCCAGGGTAGGAAAGGGAAATGATAGACAGTGACTGCAATGGGGTATGGGGGGGGGACTCAATAATAAGGGTGAATGTAATAACCACACTGTTTTTCTTGTGAAACCTTCATAAGAGTGTGTATCAATGATGCCTTAAAAAAAAAAGGGAACCGAGACCTGACCGAATGCCTTCTGCACAGCGAGGGATAAAAAGACCACACACAAAATGGCATGAGAGACAGAGACATGGTAACAGTGGGAGCAGCACCTCAACAGAGCCCTGCAGTAGGGATGGTCATCACTGAGGTTTCGGAGCACAGATTTGGTGCCGTGGAGCACAGAAAAGAAGTCGTAGTTTTCAGTTTAAAATGCAGCCATACTATAGGTGGGGGAAAGCAATTTTCAGAACTAAAGCACCCATCAAATGGTTAGAAACTGCCAGAACTCTCTGGGACTAGAGGTGCTTGTGAGCGCCATTATTTACATTCCCCCTGCAACACTGATAATGTGGACCTCAGCAGGGTCAGAGCACACATACCAACTCCAGACATAACCAAGGTGGTTTCCTGGACCCTGCTGCACTATAGATCTAGTAGTCCCACCAAGGTGGCACTAGCAAGCACAGTGCCATGTGGATTCACCCAACTAGGGCATCTCTCTTCCCCAGCCATCTTATTAGCACAGCTCTGACAAGCACCCCTTCCATCCACAGCTGCCCTCATGGTAAGCACAAACCAAAAACCCATAACAGATACACAAAAAGAAAAAGGTAATCAAACCATACGTTAAAAGTCATAATGCACAGAAGAAGACAATTAGGAAGAAAGGACAGAGGAGACTGACAAAAACAACCAGAAAACATGGTAATACATGGTAAAACAAAATGGTAATAAATATGTACCCATAAATAATCACTTTAAAATAGACTAAATGCTCCAAAAGACAAAGGGTGACTAAAATGGATAAAAAAACAAGACCCATCCATCTATTTGCTGCTTACAAGAGACTTACTTTAGACCTAAAGACACAGAGAGACTGAAACTGTAGGAATGGAAAGATATTCCATGCAAATGAAAAAAAAAAGAGCAAGCTGGTGTAGCAGTACTTACATAAGACTTTAAAACAAAGACTGTAACAAGTGACAAAGGACATTATATAATGATTAAAGGCTCAATCCAACAAGAAGGTATAACAATTATAAATATTTATGCACCCAACAGAGGATCATCTAAATAATAAAGCAAATGTTAACAGACATATAAGAGAAATTGACAGTAATACAATTTAATAGAAGGGGACTTTAACACCCCCTACTTACATCAATGGATAGATCATCCAGAAGAAAACAAAGAAATAGTGGCTTTGACCAACATATTATACAAAATGGACCTAACATATATATAAAGAATGTTACATCAAAAACAGAATACTTACTCTTCTCAAATGTACCTGAAATGTTCTCCAGCAGAGATCATGTTAGGTCACAAAGAAGTCTCAGTAACTTTAAGACCTATCAAGCATCTTTTCCCAAACTGGAAATCAATTACAAGAAGAAAAAAATGGAAAAAACACAAGTATGTGAAAGCTAAAACAGCATGCTACTGAATCACCAATGGGTCATTGAAGAAATGAAAGAAGAAATAAAAAAATACTTGGAGAATAATAAAATAGAAACACAATGGTTAAAAATCTTTGGGATTCAGTAAAAACAGTCCTAAAAGGGAAGTTTATAGCAAGAAAGGCCTATCTCAAGAAGAAATAAACAGATAATAAAGATCAGAGTGGAAATAAATCAAATAGAGACCACTCCCCAAAAATACAAAAGATAAATGAAGCTAAGAGCTGGTTCTTTGAAAAGATTAAAAATTGATAAACCTTCAGCTAGCTAGACTCCTCTAAAAAAAAAAACAACAAAACTCAAATAAAATCAGAAATTAAACAGAAGTTACAACTGACATCACCAAAATACAAATGATTACAAGATACTACTATAAATGAATTGGACAACTTAGAAGAAAAGAATAAAGTCCTAGAAATACACTTTTCAGGACTGAACCAGGAAGAAATGTGAACAGACCAATTACTAGTAACAAAATTGAATCAGTAATCAAAAAACCCCAACAAAACTCTAGGACCAGATGGCTTCAAAGAAGGCTTCTACCAAACTTTTAAAAAGAGTTAATACTTAGCCTTCTTAAACAATGTCAAAAACCGAAAAGGAAGGAAAGCTTCCAAATTCATTCCATAAGACCAGAATCATCCTGATACCCAAAACAAAGACACTACATAAAAAATAAATAAAAATAAATAAATTACAGACCAACATCCCGAAAGAACATATGTGCAAAAATCTTCAATAAAATATTAACAAACAAAATTAAAAAATATATGAGGAGGATCATTCACCACAACCAAGTGGGATTTATTCCAGGAATGCAAGGACGGTTCACTATTTGCAAATCAATACATTAACAAAAGGATAAAAACCATGTGATCATCTCAATAGACACTGAAAAAGCATTTGACTAAGTTCAACACCCATTCATGATAAAAACCCTCAACAAAATGGGTATAGAGAAGGAATGTATCTCAACATAATAAAGGCCATGTATGACAAACCAACAAACAACATACTGAATGGTGAAAAGTTGAAATCAATTCTCTAAGATCAAGAACAAGATAAGAATGACCTCTTGGTTTCACTCAACACAGTACTAGAAGTTCTAACCACAGTAGTAAGACAAAAAGAAATCAAAGGCATCCAAATTAGAAAAGAAGTAGAACTCACTATTTGCAGATGACATACTATGTATCAAAAACCTTAAAGACTCCACCAATAAATTAGAATGAATTCAGTAAAGTTACAGGATACAAAATCAACACACAGAAACTTGTTGCATCTCTATATACAAATAATGAACTAGCAGAGAGAAATTTAAGAAAACAATCCCATCTACAACTGGATCAAAAATAATAAAATACCTAGGAATGAATCGAACCAAGGAGGTGAAACACCTGAAACTTTGAAAACTCTACACTGATGAAAGAAACTGAAGATGATAGAATAAATGGAAAGATATCCCATGCTCATAGAAAGGAAGAATTAATATTGTTAAAATGGTCATACTACCCCAAGTAATTACAGATTCAGCCCAATCCCTATCAAAATACCCAATGACATTTTTCACAGATCTAGGTCAAATAACCTTAAGTTTGTAAGGAACCACAAAAGACCCTGTGCAGCCAATGGAATCTTGAGAAAGAACAAACCTGGGGATACCAACGCTCCCTGATTTCAAACTGTACTACAAACCTAGCATAAGCAAACTGTATGATATTGGCAAAAACTAGACATATACATCAATGAAAAATAACCACAGATCAATTAATAAATGACAAAGGAGGCATGAACACACAATGGAGAAATTACTCTCTTCAATAAATGATGCTGGGAAAACTGGATAACTACATGCAAAAAATGAAACTGGATCACTGTCTTACACCATACATGAAAATAAACTCAAAATAGATTGAAGATATAAACATAAGACCTGAAACCATAAAACTACTAGAAGAAAACAGAGGCAGTAACTCTTAAACATTGGCATTACTGATTTTTTTCTGGGCATGTCTCCCCATGCAAGGGAAACAAAAGCAAAAATAAAAAAGTGGGACTACAAACTAAAAAGCTTCTGCATAGTAAAGGAAACCATAAATGAAACAAAAAGGCAACCTACTGAATGGGAGAAGATATTTACAAATGAAATATCTGGTAGGGGGCTAATATCCAAACAATATAAACAACTCATACAACTCAAAAAAACCCAGATCTGATTAAAAAATGGACAGAGGGCCTGAGAAGACATTTTTTCTAAAGACACAGAGATGGCTATCAGGCATACAAAAAGATGCTTTTACTAATCATCAGGGAAATACAAATTAAAACCACAATGAGGTATCACCTCACACTAGTCAGAATAACTAGTATCAAAAAAAAACACAAAAAGAATTGATTAAGTATTGCCAAAGATGTGGAGTAAAGGGAACCTTGTACACTGTTGGTGAGAATGTAAATTGGTGCAGTTACTATGGAAACAGTATGGAGGTTTCTTCAAACATTAAAAACAGATATACCATGATCCAGCAATTCCACTTTTGAGAATTTACCTGAAGAAAATATTATCACTAATTAAAAAAGATATATGCACTTCTATGTTTATTGCAGCATTATTTCTAATAGCCAATATATGGAAACAACCTAAGTGTCCATCCATAGATGAATAAAGAAGTGGTACATACATACAATCGGCTACTATTCAGCCATAAAAATAAAAACTTGCTGTTAGCAACAATGGATGACCTAGAGAGTATTATGCTAAATGAAAAAAGTCAAAGAAATAAATATGAACTCACTTGTATGTGGAATCCAAGAAACATAACAAATGAACAAACAAAACAAAACAGACTCATAGACAGATCAGACTGGGTGGTAGTTGCCATAGGGGAGGAGTTGGGGGAATGGGTGAAATAGGTGAAGGAGGTGAAAAAATGAATGCTTGCTACCTTTATCTGGGTGATGGTTACATAAGGGTACATATATCAAGCTGTACATTAACATTTGTGCAATTTATTGTATGCACCTCAAAAAAAACCCTAGCTGTCTGGCCAGAGAGCTGTGATGCTTAGGAAGAAGTAAGTTGGCTGCTTTAAAAACAAACAAGAAAACACAAGTATCCTATGTAAAATTTCAAAGCTACAATCTTGGCCTTTATAACAAAATATTTAATGTATGCTAAACAGTCCATTTATTGGTAACCAAAGAAGAGTTTAATTATTCAATCTGGCCACCTGACCCCTCATGTTACTGACATTTAATTGACTCTTAACTAAATTTCATAACATTTTATGTTAGGTTTTTATTTTTTAAGTACTTAGTCTTCATTCTTAGGTTGAGCATGCCCCTGAAGTATTATTTACTTTTATAAATCCTTAGTAAATCTTGTATTGCATGAACCAAGAGAAACTTTGGCTTTCTATGACAAATTATAAATTATTAGAAAATCTATAATGAGATATTATACAAATGCTTCCTATGTATAGGTCTTAATGTTTTTCATTTCTCCCTAACCCCACTGTTCTAGTCAGGCTAACTCTTCATCCTTTCAGATTCAGATGAGTTCTATTTCTGGGAAGCTTTCTTTTATTACCAAGGCAGTTAGTTAGCTATGCTTATCTATTGATTCCACAGCACTATGTACATAGTTCTTTCATTGCAATTATAAGTCTATATTTTTATTATCTGGTTTTATCCATTAAATGATGTATTATTGATCTATATGACCCCCCCCCCACGACCCAGTACAGTGTTTATCATTTAGTAATCAATAATTGGTGGTAAACTAAATGAACTCATTCCCAAATAGGAATATAAACAAGGGGCAGAATTTCAATTTAAGGAGCTTAGAAGAGAAAAAAAAGTTTTCCTATTTCTTCCAAAGCTGGTTATAGGAAGATTATTGGAACAATGTTAGGAAAATAAATTTAATGCTCACAAAAAATAAGTATCTAGAGATCACTGTATTTGCATGTAAAAATGAATTGCTAGGAACAAGAGGGTTTTTACCAATAGGGAATGTTTTCTTGGCACCTATTTCTATTATGTTAATCAAACAGAAAGATTTCAAAACATTTTTAGTATTAGGTTTTTGATAAAGGCTTGGCAACTACTTCAAGGGCTGGAGAGAGCTATAAAATATGAAAGACCTACCAATTGCTCTGCCCAGAGATACCTTCTACCAAATCATTAGACTAACTGACAATAAATTATAAACTTTCACGTCTTCCTTATTCCACAGAAGTCTCCTCAAATCAAGTATTTTCTCTATACAGTCTCTAAATCTTGTTGCCCAGTGGCAGAGACTCCCAGCAGTGGTTCAGAAGTAGTATAAATTTTAAATGGCTGGTTAGATAAACTATTTCCCAATGTCAAAAGTAATTATGCAGAATGGGAAAATGGGATCCAAGTATATTCAGTTCATCTCTCACACAACAGACACAAAAAAGATAAAAATAAAAATGCATATTATCTGATGCTTACCTTTCCTGCACCCATAAGTCTCAAGAACTTCTGTTTTCTTTCTTCATTACCTAAGTCTGCTGCTTCCCAATTGCTAGATCCGAGCTGGAAAACAAATTAGCCAATTAATTTTTTTGCACAGTATCAAAAAGTTTAAAGTCTACCAATAATTCCCAAGTATCTTCCCCCTGCCCTTATTCCTTATTAACTATACACAGGACACTTCTGTTTTTCCAAATTCCTGTCGGTGGTGGGGTTTATATGCTGTCAGGATTTTGGCTACCTAAGTTCCAAATCTCTACTTCTATCCATCTGGCAATTCATTTTTTTTTTAGACAAAATTAATTATTTTGGCTCAATATATAGTTCAAAACAAAACACCAAAGTACCAGTGAGGCTTAAGTTCTAGTTTTCATCAAATCACTTGTTTTCTGTGAGCCTGGACCTGGCATTAACTTCTTAGTTTTAATTCCTGATCTATACAGAGAGGCTTCATTAAAAGACTGTCTCCAGAATAGTAACACCAACTAAGAATTGCATAGTGTTTTACAACTTACAAATCACTTTTTCACTTAGATTCTCTCAAGAGTCCATTTAACAAGGACACTGAAGAGGTTGAGTGACTCTCTGTGGTCCTCCAGCCTTAAGTTCTCTGCTCTTTTCTCATCATACTATACATGATCAAATGAGACAGAATATGTGAAAGTAGTTTATGAACTACAGTTATAAAATGTATAGAATTAAGTTAAAAGCAAAACAGTTGTCTGAAAGCCAAAACACTGCCAAACTATTTTCATTGAAAGAGTGAATATTTTCCATGTCTTTACATAAACCATCAACACTTAACTTCTAATCCTAATGTTTTTTTCCAATCATTAAGTTCTTCTGGTTCTTACTTTCAAAGACCTTAGCATACAACAGCAAGTACAGTGCCTTAGTGCTGTATTCTGAAACAAGGGTGCCTGACACATTCTTAGAGGTTCTCCATTAGCTACTAAAATTAACCTCTCCCTTCCTACTGCTCCTTAAAAAGATAGTTTTCTTTTCTCCACTCCAATCAAACCATGAAACCATTTTAAAGTTGTCTTCATCCTTAATACTCTTCACCATAGAACTGCAATCTACTTCCTCAGTAAAAACCCTAGTAATTCTTAGAAATGTTTGTTACCACCATTTAACATGTGAGGTCAGTGGGCAAAGAAAAAACTTTATCTTTTACATGCAGTGGATGTTCATTAGAAACTGCTGACCAACTACATATTATAATTAGTTGATTTTCTACAATTTAATGTTTATTTTTAAAAACTTATGTATATTATTTTTAAAACTTAAAAAAATAATATTCAGATGAAAGAAACTGACTTAAGAAAATCCCTATCAAGAGACAGGTTATTCTACTGCACTATAATGTAAAACAGTGTGTCCATATCCTAGGCTCTATTCTTGAATTGCAACTATAACCACTTCCTTCAAAGAGAATGTTTCTAAGATTGGAATACTTCTTGAAGGGCATCTAGTTTTAACTGATCCCCTCTGAAGCTGTAAAGACTTGATTCCTTAATCCCTTTAACTTTGTTAAGTTACCTAACCACCAATTTTGTGAAGCTAAAAGCTGATTTCTGTGAGTTTTGATTCTTATAATCAAGTGACAGTTAAATACCAGAAACAATCTAATAGCTTTTAAAATGGCATCCAGATTACTCAAAAGACTAGCTAAATTCCCAAGTATTGGGTTATCATACTAACAACAATAAAAACCTAAAGTCAGCAGCAGGGATGAAGATTGGGCATAAATAAATCTCACTATATAACTATTCATCCCCAAAATCTTATACTAATATTTCTGCAGAGCTAAAATCAATTTCCTTAAAGATCCTTGGTATTCCGGTACAAACCTTATCACCTATCTCAAGGGGTGGGTCTTAACATCATCTCATTTGCTGCAACTGACGTACTAGTAGTATTCAGTATGGTTCTCAAAATAAGATATATTAATAAAGGCACTGAAGTGCAGTATAGAAAACAAATAACACGTTCTCAGAATTGATAGTTCTCAGAAATTGATAACCGAAAGAAAACTAATGTCCTTTCATCATCCTTAAAGATGACCTCTCCATGCCCCCCTCCCCAAAATTTCCCAATCATTTTTCCAATGGCATTTACACATTGCACGAAGGACCTAGTTTTACATTTACGGCAGTTTCCATGACACTGCGCTAGGTGCTAGGACAGATACACAAAAAGGCCTTGGACAAGCACCATGCTTGTTCATCTTTCAATTCCCAACACCCAGAATGCATAAGATAATATTAGTGGGTTACTTTAAGGAATATATGGTTTGCTGAACTTGGGAGGCATGAGGGGAATTGTGGGGCAGGAAGAATATCAAAATGGGCTTCTAGGTCTCAAAGTCTTAGACTGCACCACCATGCGCCAGTACGAAATTACTACCCTGGTACAATTTTTCGGTTCAATACTGTTCTTGGTTTACTCTTAGCAGGACATTGCAAAAGTAACCCCGGTCAGAAAACTTGTATAAATTTGCACCAACATCTTGACATTGTCACAGGACCATTTTAATTATAAAGCAGGGAAGTCTTGCTGTTTCGATTCTGAGTAGGAAGACCCCAGAAAGAAGCTTCATCTGCCCCCAAATACGCAAACATGATCTCCTAAGGTCTTTCATTTCTCGATCCTCTTAGTACTTCACCGAATCCCCTTCCTACGCAGGTCTCTGGCTACTCAGCGTGCGGACCGCTTCAAACCTCCCGACCAGAACTGAAAAAAGGAGGCATTTCTCAAGTCATTCTTCTGGTTCTCTCCCCACCCCCAACCCCCTAAGTCGGCCCTCCCGCTTCGGGCCACCTTAGGCGCTTCCTCCTTCTTCATCCACCCTTTCCGGCCTACCGCAGCCTTTGGTAGGCCTCAACCCTCTTCCACTCCGCCATTATTATTTACATCGTCATCTGGGGAGGCTGAGCGCTTCACCCCGTGCGGATGGGACTCCCGGGCAGCACTCATCGTTGCGGGAACCCCGAAGGGAAAAGCCGAAACCACTCGCCGTTCTCTTCAGCCGCAGCGCTAGGAGCCTGCAATCTGCCACCAGCCCAAGCAGCGCCACTCCAGAACGCAGAGCCCATCCGGGCCTTCTCCACCACAGTCGTCACCGCGAGGCTGCTCGCCGCCGCGGAGCGCTCCGGGAATTGTAGTTTTCTGGTTCACTCAATACCGGCCTGAACAAAAGAGGATGGATAACAAATACTACAATTCCCAGGAAGCCCAGCGGCGCACCTAGCGCCGTGTGGCGGGAGTGCCTTCTGGAAGCCCCGCCTTCTTCGGCTTGAGGAGGGAGCCTTCCCGCGGATGAGTATGGCGGTGAGCGTCTGAATAAAGCTTCGTCGTTACAAAGCTTCGTTGTTACGGAAAGAAGCTTAGACTGGGTTTGCGCATATCGCTCTGAGGCGCCGCGCACAATGCATCCGTTATAGTTAAGCACCTAGGTTTAAATTTAATGCTTGAGGCTTACTGAACCCTCAGAGGCTACCGTCTTCCGCAAGACAAAAACACCCTTCAAAAAAATATGGCTTCTGTGTTTTCTACCCTGGAGTTCTGTTCCTCATAGGGGATTTCTAGGTGATAGGTGGTGCGGTTTTCTAGAAAATTCTGAATTTTGCCGCTTTCTCATTCTCACCTAAGTGAGTTACCCGTGGTATTAAGAGCGGGTTAGCTATTACTGAAACTAGGGGCCACCTGAGGGAACTGTTAGCTTTCCACCGGGCTTTGTGTGAAGTGGTGGGGTGACCCCATTCGACCTTGTTGGTGTATAGCCTTTGTTCTTTAGGGGACTTCACCCAGTGAAGTCCATGTCTGCCAAAAACCCTTGTATTTCTTTTCTTTTCCTTTTAAATAGTAACTTTTAGAAATTGAAGTGAAGTCATTAAACTAACCATTTTCAAGTGTACAATTAAATGGCATTTAGTCCATTCATGATGCTGTGCAACCATCACCTTTATGTAGTTCCAAGACGTTTTCATCACCCGGAAAGAAACTTCAGGACCCACTGAGCAGTCCTTCCCCATTCCTCCCTAGCACCACTGCTTTGCTCAAAAAGTGCTGAATCTAAAGGTATTATTCAGATACTGGAAACTGATTCTTGCATCACCAAGGTACCTGAATTTTTAACCAGGAATGAACTTGGCTGCCTTCAGTCCGAATATTCTGTAAGAATCCTTGCCATGAGTTATTCTGAAGCTTTCTGACCTTGATCAAAAATTTGATTTTTTTTTAAAGCAAATACCCATAAGTGGTATAACAGTACAGATCAAATGTGTGTTTGGTAGTGAGAGCAGCCTGTGAAAGTGCTTAACTGTTGACTTCTGAACTCGGCAATTAATCTGATTTGACTGGCTGTGTAGAAATAGCATTACTTTATTAGATTTCAAGTGATTACTGAACCATTTATAGAATTGTGACCAGTGGAAGACAGTTGTTTATGCAGTCATACATCCATATTCTGCTCTATTTTGTAGTCACAGGAATAACAATATTAATTAAAATAATATGAAAAAGAAGCCACATAGTTCATAACCAAGCAAGGACACCTTAATCAATTAGTTCTGTGGTAAGAATAAACCATCAATCAAGGGAGAAGAAAAAACCCATTGAGAGAGAAAGTTTTTTTTTTTGGAAGTGGTTGTTTGATCTCTATTATGAATTAAAATATTTTACCTACTAACTGATTCTACAAATGTTCTATAACTATAATTACCATGAAATTACAGTTAAAGAATTTTCTAGGATGGACTCCAAAGGGTTTGATGCACTGTAATGTATACAGTTTAGAGCTCATCTTGATTACCAATCAGCAAATGAGGTGGATAAATAATTTAGACTTTAAAATAATACTGAAAAAAAAGGACTATCAATAAAGATAGTGGTTACTAAACAGGTAGAACTTTAATTGATAAAAGTCCAGAAAAGCTTAATGAACTAGCAATCTGTCTTTTATTTCCTTACCAGAATTGTTGCCACCTGGATGGCTAGATCTTTAAGTTACCATAAAACAAGTCACAAGCCAAGCACTATCATAGGAAATAGAAAAACTGCAGCATTTTATCAGATTTTACTCAGTTACATGTACAGAAGGCTATATAGGTAAGGATGAACATATATACAGTGTAATAGAAATGCGTATTTATATATGGCATAGAATCTTGGTAATACTCTTCTTCCTTGTTGGGTAAAATCTAGAAGATACTCTGTACCAGGTGGAACTCTGAAATACCTTCTTCAGGATTGGGACTGTTCCCAGTCATTTTTGTTTCTGTGTTTTCTAACAGAATACCTACCACAGGGTAGTAATAAGTATTTTTAAATTATTATAGGAAGTATGAAATTGTATAATGTAACAGAGTGGTATCTCACTCTGCGGAAAATGGAACTTCCTATGGCCAGGATCCTCACCTGACCCTAAACTACTTGATGATGTGATTGGCCTACTACTAGGCTACTGCTTCCACACCCATAGGCAATAAGCTATTATTAACTGAGTCACTACTAAAGAGCTCTGCCCAGTGGTCTGGGTGGAGGCAGTGACAGTAGTGGATTACAGACCTGAAGACTGCTGGATACAGATGTGATTCTAGTGCTCAACCTATCGCTGGGAGAATAAAGCTAGGTATAAACCCTTTTACCCCAAGAACATTCCTTGTCAATTCTTAGTCTCACTGAATCCTTAGTGAATTTGTCTGGGGCTAAAACCCCCAGGCAAGACACTCATATAAGACCCAGAAACTCAGCAGTGTCCTTTTTTGGTAGTAAAGATAAGGAGAAGGGACTATTACTAACAGAACTTTTAAATATTTTCCTGAGGGTAGAGTTCATGCCTTCCTCATTTTTATGTGCCCAATGCTTAACATGAAGTAGGCCTTCATAAATGTTTGTTGAGTGCATATGGTAATATTCCCTCAACCAAGGGAAGTCATAACTGAAAATAGTTAACAAACCTAATGAAGAAATAAAAGCTCTAATGAATATGCTCTGTACAAAAAACCTCTACTGTTTTACCTGAATCTAAAAGAAATTCCTGGAGCTGTAATCATAACTATTACTTATTGAATATCCACTATGCACCATACACTTTGCCAACTGCTTTTTAAAACTGATCTCAAGGCTTCTCAACAATTTGTAGGAATTGTTATCTTATAGATAGTGAAGACTAAGAAAAGGTAAATACTTGCCCATAATCATATAGCTAATGAGTAGCTAGCTAATCTGGGATTCAATCCTTAAGTCTAAATCTGAAAACCCATGCACTTTCCACTGTGCCATTATAAGCCAACATTTATATAGGGCACTTAGTATGTGTAGGAAGTGTGTTAAATTTGAGGAAAACCAGAATAAATAATATATATAGCCCTTTAACCCAAGGAGTTTACAGGTTGGTGGGGAAGGAATGATTAAGTGGCACCAGTAGGTTACAGATAAAATGCTATGGGAGTAGTTCATTTTAACTAAGGGAAATGGAGAAATTCTTCCCAAAGTTTTTGAGCTAGACCTTAAAAAACAGTGGAGGCAGGGTGGGGCATGTATTCAGGAATGGTTAGTGTCCTGTGTGACTGAAACGTGATAAGCACGTAAGTATCATATTCTGAGACAAAGCTGTAGGCTGATCAAAGCCAGGCTAATCAAAGCCTTGAATTTGAACCTCTTTCTGCATGTATTCAGGTTCAAATAATTTTTTTCATGGATTTATAGTAACATCCTTCCATGCTGTAGTAGTTCCCCAGTTAAATCCATTTTACACTGTATGGCCAGATTCATCATCTGAAAATGGAATGTAAAGACTCTCTTGCTCAAAAACTTCCTGGAACTTCCCATTTTATATAGAATTAAGTTGATATAATTAAGCCTATAATTTAGGGTCTATATTCTGACCTCAATCATCCAATGCAATCTTACTTTCTACTACTACCTTTTATTTATCTTGGTTAGTCTGTCATCCCTAGTTACAACAAAAATGTATGTGCTATAATAGAGGTATGACAAAGACACAAGTCTTGCTGGCTGTTCTAGCCTGTAAGATACTTTAAACTAGTATCTAAGCTTAGTACCATGACTATATAAGCCATGACTCAATGTATTTTTGTTGTATTGACATGAATATATGTGGTCAAAGAGGAACAGGTTTATGTGTTAAGATAACAAGTCTTTTATTTTAGACATGTTAAAGTATTAGTGGGATACCAAGTAGAGATGTCTAGTGGCAGTTAGGTCTCCAAAATTAGGGGAGAGCCGTACATTTGGAAATCACCCATCTAGAGATGATGGAGAGAATTTGAACAGTGACTGAGCTCACTCCATGAGCATGCATAAAATACATATTTGGAAAAGGAAGGGGGAAAAAAGAATATTTAAGGGTGTAATGAGGACAAAGAGCCTGAGATGAAAAGATAGATATAGAAGTAGAACAAAGAGAGTTAATTGTGATTGAAGCCAAAGGAAAAGCACTTGAAGAATATATTTTCCAACTGTGGGAGACTAAGAGATGAAACTTACCTTGAAGCTGATTTTAAAGGCATGATATAAAGGGAACTGTAGGGTCTAACACAGAATCCTGAAGACAGGCTATAAAAAAAGAAACGTTGTTGATATTTGATGATGATCAGATTAATTCATATTCTGTCGGTTGGATGCATAGATTTGCCACAATGCTACTGTGATTTAAAATGTAGTGACATAAATATTGGTTTGCTTTATACATATCTGGACACTTTAAAGAATAAAGAATGAAAAGGGAGATGAAATGTATTTGCTTATAAAATTGCTTCAATAAAATTGTTGTTGATGCATATCTTCTAATCTGGTCAAAAGGCCTACCTGTGCATAAAGCAACAATACCTAATAGTTGTTGTCAAAGAGAACATATGAGTTTAAATCAATGGGTGATGTCTTTTTTTTTAAAGGAAAATTTGAGAATACTCTAGTTTTCTCTCCAGAATTGCTTGCCAATTAGAAAAGTAATATGTGACTATGAAGCTGGCTTAATAATGATAAATCCATATGGTAGAATACCATGTAGTCATTAAAAAGAAAGGGGAAGCTCTGTAGGTATTGATATTGTATGTTCTGCAAGACATATTGTTGAATAGAAAAGCACAGTGGAGAACTG